TTTGGAAGTTCTTTTTTTTCTTTCTTGTGGAAGCTTTTGTGAGGAATTCTGACAACCATGTCCAAGGGTGACAATTTGCCAGGAGTTAGTTCGTCTGATACGTTTGGGCAGTGCCAATGCTCCACCTCACCAAATGTGGAAAATGAGAATGTATTTTCTGCCTGTAGATTGGAAGATACGTCGCAATAGTTTCTGCCTTTTGTGATTGTGGTGAGTAGCGCCAAAGGCCAAAGAGTGGACGTCCACGCACATAGCATGTGGGTGTGTGCTGGGGGGGAGAGAGAGAGAGAGAGAGAGAGAGAGAGAGAGAGAGAGAGAGAGAGAGAGAGAGAGAGAGAGAGAGAGAGAGNGAGAGAGAGAGAGAGAGAGAGAGAGAGAGAGAGAGAGAGAGAGAGAGAGAGAGAGAGAGAGAGAGAGAGAGAGCTCCGCTATACAACACGCTACCTGTATCTCGACCGTTAGATGACCAGATACACTCCCTAGACCCCACCAATCCAAAATGTAATGGACGGGGATGCATTCAGAATGGTGGATGGGTGGGAGTTTATCTGATTGGCACTATACTCGCACCATATTGACAACCAGACACACTCCCACCAATTCACCATTCTGAATGTATCCCCATGCATTAGGACATTGGATAGTTGGGAGTCCAGGGAGTGACATGTCGTCAACGGTCCAGATACAGGTAGTGTGTTGATTATGGAGCTACTCTCTCTCTCTCTCTCTCTCTCTCTCTCTCTCTCTCTCTCTCTCTCTCTCTCTTTTTCTATTACCCCCTCTCCCCCCCCCCTCAAACAACCCCCCCACCCCCACTGCATCCACAGCCATGGGGGACAAAAAACAAAAACAAAAAAATTGGCACATTTAGATGGCCACTGCACAACGGGCCTCGCTACCCTCGACATGGACAAAAAACAAAAATCATGGCGGTGTATCTTTCCATGTTCTAGTGGAAGATTCACTCTCGTTTTGCACAAATCGAAAGTAGTGGAGAGAAGCCCAACATTCTAGTTGTTTCTGGAACGTATTGATGAACAGATACACTCACATCCTGATGCTGATGCATTCAGAACACTGGATCAAAGGGAGTGTATCTGGTCGTCACGACGGTCCAGATACATCATACAGGTGGAGTGTTGTGCACTGGAAAGTCTCTCTCTCTCTCTCTCTCTCTCTCTCTCTCTTCTTTTTCTTTTTCCTCATGTGGCGGCTGTTCTGGCCCGCAAAGATTGTGCGAGTACACGTAATGTACACAGGCTGTTACATGCTGCGCCTGCACACGGGCCCCATTTGAGGGGCCCGACGGTTGCTGAGGGCCCCCCAGGCCGTGTACCATACAGCACGCACCCTGGAGGCCCACGGCGGCCCTCCAGGCCGTGTACCATACAGCACGCACCCTGGAGGCCCACGGCGGCCCTCCAGGCCCTAGGTAGCACACTAGGTAGATAGGCTTTGTTTTACTTACCTTTTTGTGTGTGTGTGCTGTCTTATTTTTGTCTGTTCAGATGCCGTTTCGGACTTGCAGCCCCAAGGCCGGACCTTGGGACTGGGTACACCGGCGACGCTTTGGGCTAGGTGCACAGGAACGGGGCCGTTTTTAGGCCAGGCGCATTTCTGCGCCTTGCTGCATCAGCAGCGTGGTCTGGACGTCTGGTAGGGACCCAGACCAGCTGGGCCGTTTTCTGAGGCCAGCATCAGGTAGGCCCAGCCCACCCAGCGCTACAAATAGCCGGGCAGCGGCTGAGCAAGGGACAGATCGAGTAGCTCACTTCTGGAGCGACACGCTGCTGGTTGGAGGCAGCGTTATTCTGTGCTAAGGGTCTCGTTAGACACTCCTAAAAGAATCCTAAAATTTTTAGGACGAGTCCTAAAGTTTTTTTAGGATTTCGTGCCGCGTCGGTACACGCAGTCCTAAAAATCATCTTCTAGGACTCGTCCTAAAAGGTTCCCCGCGGCCCGTTTTCATACGCGTATACGCAGCCGCGCCGCCGATGTTCGTCCATTCCTCGGCGGTGTCCGTGGTACAGAATGCGGTGGGCCTTGGGCGGGAGTCGACGGATCGGTGAAAAGCGCGGTTCCCCAGAACTTCAAAATTTTGAATTCGAATTCTCGCGGACGCGTGCGCCATGAAAAAGACGGCGCCTCCCTGCCGACGCGTGTGACCTGAAAAATACGGCGCCTCCCTGCCGTTCGCCGCGCGGAATCCATCTTTCGAGTGTACGCAACTTGCGAGGAGCGTGCGCATGATCGTGTGAGCCGCACGTTTGCCTCCGGCGTGTGTACCGTCCTTTGGAAGCGTGGAGCACTGGACGAGTGTTTGTCTCGTGTGCCATTGTACAACAGCGTTGCCATCGTGGACTCCGACGTTGTTTCTCTACGACGGCAGGGTTCCGCGGTGGGCGTGTCTGAGGCGGCTGTCGAAGGCGTGACGTGGCAAACCGTGCGAGGATTGGCAGAGATGGACAGTCATGGCTGCTCAAACGGTCTACGCGACGAAGAGATCGACGCCGTGGCGATGGCGGTGACTGCCGTCGTCGTGAACACGATGGGCGACATGGAGTCCTCGTCGCGCGACATGCTGACGCGGCTCCGGCAACGAAGAGCGCTGTTGCAGAGCGTTGCAGAGGCGCCGGATTGTGCGGCGACGTGTGAGGCAGTCATCCAGTTGTGTGCCGCGGTGACGTCTGGCGTTTTCCCTCCGCAGACTCCGCGATGGTGGATCAAACGACGGACTGGCGGGACATGGGAGGACCTCCGACTTCGGGACGACGCGACGGACGAGTACTTCCGGCAGAAGCTGCGCATGTCGACGGCCATGTTCAACCACATCGTAGCCGCGTGCGCCGCGTACATGGAGAAGAAGGTGACACACTATCGAATGCCATTGCCAGTGRAGCAGCTGATTGCTTTCGCGTTATACAGGTGGGCGTCCGGAGAGACGTACRAGAGCGRCACGTCRGCATTTGGCATCGGCAGGGCAACTGGACTGCAGGCCGTYCGCGACGTCACTTCGGCGCTGCTGSAGGYGTACCYCRAYGCGATAAAGTGGCCAATGGGCAGGAGACGTGCGCAGATTCTGCGCGCTTTCCGTGAGAAGGGTTTCCCAAACTGCTTCGGCRCTATCGACTGYACMCACATCTACATTGACAAGCCCGCCGGCRCACCTTCCGAGAACTACTACGACCGCAAAMAGAAGTTCTYYGTGCAGGCGCAGGTGGTTGTGGATTTGGAWTTGCRGATCCTCGACGTCCACGTGGGATACCCTGGAAGCKTGCWCGACGTCCGTGTYCTGCACAATTCCCAGTTGTTTAGGCGTGCAGAAAGTGGCSAGCTGTTCGACGCAACTCYGGAGAATCTGCCGCATGGTGTCGTCACGCGAGGCTACCTGCTGGGCGACAACGGTTATCCAGTTGCCTGTCCGTGGATTGTGTCGYCGTACGGAGGAATCGACCAAGGTGCTGACGAGGAGCGCTTCGACACGCGGCAAAAGGTGGCACGGGGGTGTGTGGASAGGGCATTCRGCCGACTCAAGTGCATGTGGCGTCTGTTCTTGCRCACCCATAAGACGAACCTAGAGACCTTGCCACARCAATTCGTGGYTRTCTGCACTCTCCACAATATCCTCCTGGACGCGGGGATCGASTTCGACGAGAACCTTCTGTGGGAGGTGGATGCGAACGGCGTTCGGCGTMGAGYGGACTTGGGCATTGYGGGGAAMGGCGCWCGCGGGCGGGGAYGGTGCACGAWCGTGGAAGGTGAATTGTTGAGGGATGCACTGCGAGACCGCCTMGCTTTGATGYAGGACCGTGCGGTAGGGAGGTGGTGCACACGGGGTGGTTCGATCGGTAGGYGGCTGGAGTTATTACGTGGTYYGTGTCCATGGTYGTCGTGCGCGTGGTTGGTTGGTCGATGGAACGGCGGCATGATTGTCGTCGACGATTTCAGATTATCGTTTTCATGCTGTTGATGGCTACCTGGTTCGCATAGTTGTGCGAAGTTTAAAGATTGGAAAAACCTTTTTTTTGTCAGTATGTGTCCTCGTCGTCAGGAGTTTTTGTCTTGTTATATATGTTTCCTGTCTTAAAATCGTTTGTGATGAACGGTGTCGTGCGATGGGAAACATGGTTGTTGCTGTTTTTTTTTTTTTTTTT